TTAACGTATGTGTACTTATTAACTTATGAAAGGAACTTATGTGTACATTGTATTTGTTTTACAGAATAAGTAGATCCCTTTCCTTTATATGAACTAAAGTCGCAGCATATCTTTCATAAATTGACAGATTAAATAGTAAAAATATTCATAATGTGTTAAAAGATTCGGTTACACTTTATTTCAACGGTCCACTTTAAACATTGTTACGTAACTACATCAACTAACTCTCATTAGAGTATAAGTAGACTGTTAGGTTAGGATTAGAATATATATATTCATAATTGTTTATTAATTTCACGTAAGCATAAAGCCTGAATGCCATCTATATATATATACACACATTATCCTTTATTATAATAAAGTCACTCTTCAAATCAATGTGACCTACATTGGCAATAGAGGAAACAAACCGTTTTGATGAGAAAAAAAAATTGGGAAGAAGAAAACAGAAGCTGCTCTAAATCAAATGAACAGCATGTAATGCTAGGTAATAGAAGTTAATACAAGTCAGTCAAACTTTCCACTTGAGTTGTGAGTTTAAATGATGCCTTGATAATATAAGCGTATATCTTTATTGAGAGTGTTATAGGTTCCAGAGGTCACATGATCCAGAGGAACAAGGAAGCAAAAGGATATTTCCAAGAAATATTATTACATCCTTAAATCTGCTCTTAACACTTTGTTATAAAGTATAACTGGAAAATAGGGAGGGTTAAATAGGTTAAATAATGAGAAAATTGGGAAACCACACTGGCATAAAATCAAGACATTCGCATTTAAATGATCTTCTAACACAGTGATTCTAAATAAAAAGATGACATGTTAGCACGCAATATGAGAGGCGAATAAGACAATCGCTTGGTTTCGGTTTACAGGAAAAAGGTGAACCAGTAAAAATCCATAAAATAGTAACATCATAAAATCAATAAAAGCTGGACACACACCCCAGAACAAATACCACCTTTATCCTGGACCAGGGAGTGGCTGTTCAGCCTGAGAGTTTTCACTAATCCACACCTGTGTACGACCATGAGAACATGACATAATTACAGCTCATAGATGAACCTTATATAAGAGCGGAGGAAGGACACGGCCACATTGTGCGCATCTGTTGGCTTGGTCGCAGTTTGAAGCAAATCTCATTCTCTGTGGTATCTTTTCTGATTACAGTTTTCTCTCCATCATGAAGTGGATGATCATAAGATTTTGCATGTTGGCTCTGCTGGTCTCCCAGGCTCAGGTAAATACATACACATCCATCAATAACTTGTATATTTTATATTCACACTCCACACAATGCTGACATCTTACAATATTATCATATGCTATTGAAATATGTGTGGCCTCCGGGTAGTCTTGAATAAGCTAAGATGAGGTCAGATTCTGATAAACTCTTTTCAAAGCTATAGAGAATGCAAATATTGAACTTTTTTGGAAATAATATAATATAATATAATGAAAAAAATGTATTTTGTGTGGTTTTCCAGTATAAAAAAAAGTCTAAACATCTTAAAAATGACCCGTTATTAGAGAATCTATCTTGAATTATTTTTATTACTTGTTTTAACCAGAAATCTAACAAAACATAGTGAGATTTATGCTTAAAACAAGAAAAAAAAAAAACTCTTTGTCAGTGGTCTAAGTAAAATATACAGAAAAAAATCTGTACTTTTTCTGTTGTTTCCCAGTAAAAATGTCGACACATCTTACTAAAAGAAAACAAAATGATTTGACAACCAAAATTGTTTAAATGACAATTGTTATCAGAAAATCTCTTAAATTATTTGTATTTCTTGTTTTAAGCAAAAAACTAACAAAACATAGTGAGATTCATGCTTGAAACAATGGAGTATGTTGATGAAGTAATAAAATGACTTCTCTTCCGCTTCTCAAGTAAATGTATCATGCTTCAAAGATATTCCGATGTTTTTACTTTTAAATTGTTCCCTAAAAGACTAAAGGGACAACTGACTTGGCAACAACTGATGATACTTCAGTTACAAGAACAAATCCAACAACTGTAAAGACTTCAACTAAGACTACAGCTCAACCCACTGTTCCAACAATTGATACTACTTCACCCATAATAACGAGCATAAATACTTCAGATACAACTCAAGCCCCTGTGACAACTCCATCAGATCAGCCAACCACAACGTCTCCATCTTCAGAGCCCACCATGATTCAAACAACTGAATTTCCAAGCAACATGACTGATATGACCACAATGACAAATTCCTCAACGCCAGTGAATGCCACCATGACAACAGTAGGACAGACCTCAATCTGGACGACTACGTCATCCAGCGACTCACTGACAGTTACCATCATCAGCTATACTCTATCCGTCCTGCTGTACATGATGTTGAATTGAGCATTATTTGATTCAGCACCCTGGATTAAAGCTAAACTTGTTTTGGAAAGTACTGTAGTACAGTATAATAGAATATAAGTAATATATAAAGGTAAAGTATATACTATATGTATTACTTTATATATAAATGACTAATGAGTATATAAATGACTATTACATTTACAGTAGTATAAGCCAAAACTGAACAACAGATAATAGTTTTATTGATTGAATGTTTGTTATGGTTGTACAAACCTGCTTGCTGCATCACAAATGAGGACTACCTAAAAAAGCACCTACGATTTCAAATGAAAAATGTATAGTTTAAAATAATGTCTGAAATAAAAAAAAGGATCTGTTGATTGTATGTATGTCTTTCATAGTAAAGACTAATTCAGATTTTCATTTTAATGTGACAGTAATGTATTTACTGTTTAGTAAGTGAGCCTTTTCTGGACTAAAATAGTTTAAGCAAAATCAATCATTTCCTTTTACTCAGTTTATGATCTCATTACATCCTAGGAAAACATTAAACAAATGAGTCAAGCTACAATCTACAAGATAAGAATGACAAATAATCCAGTTGACTTCATGTTTCTGGGTCAATAAATTTAGTAGTCGGATACTGAATAGGAGATGCACGTCTTTCACAAAATAAGAGGGATCATGAAAATTGCACGTTTTTTAATTTAGTAGCCTACTGTATTGAATAAGCTATTTCACATAACGGATGTTTATATATACTCCACAAGACAAAATAATAACTGAATTTATAAAAATGACCCCGTTCAAAAGTTTACATACCCTTGAATATTAATACTGTGTGTCATTTCCTGGATGATCCACGACTGTTGTTTTGTTTTGTGACAGTTGTTCATGAGTCCCTTGTTTGTCCTGAATAGTAAACCGCCTGCTGTATGGTTTATTAGGATAGGACAATATTTGGCTGAGATACAACTATTTGAAAATCTAGAATCTGAAGGTACAAAAAAATCAAGATACTGAGAATATCGCCGTATTACTAATCAAAAATTAAGTTTTGATATATTTATGGTAGGAAATTTACAAAATATCTTCATGGAGCATGATCTTTACTTAATATCCTAATGATTTTTGGCATAAAAGAAAAATTTATAATTTTGACCCATACAATGTTTTTTTGGCTATTGCTAAAAATATACCTAAGCAACTTAAGACTGGTTTTGTGGTCCAGGGTCACATATGCCTCGGCAACTTTGGGCACCCGGGTAGATAAGAGAAGTTATTTCTTGAAAACAAGCAAACAGACTAGCAGGTGGTTTTCTACAATGAAATCAAGCATTATGTAAAAAATAGACAATTGTGGAAAAGTCCTGGGAATGACGTATCAACAAGTGGTCTGTATGCTCATTGGACAGTGACCGATAATGAAATTGTATAAAGATGGTAGCCTGGACAGAGACAGATTTAGATGTTCTGCAGGCATCTCGGCTTTGTTGTCTTCTTGCAATAAAGTCTAATTTTGACATCTGGAACTCTGCCTTCCTGAGCATTATTTTGCAAGACAGAGAAGACTTTTCTCTACAACAAAACTTTTGAACGGTAGTGTATATTGTTACAAAAGATTTCTATTTTGAATAAATGCTGTTCTTTTTATCCTGAAAAAAAGTATCACAGGTTCCAAAAAAATAATAAGCAGCAAAAATGTTTCCAATATTGATATTAAAACAGCATATTAGAATGATTTCTGAAGGATCATGTGACACTGAAGACTGGAGTAATGATGCTGAGAATTCAGCTTTGAGCAATAAATTATATTTTGAAGTATATTAAAATAGAAAACCATTATTTTAAATTGCAATAATATTTCACAATATTACTGTTTTTTTTTCTGTATTTTTGATCAAATAAATGCAGCCATGATGAGCAGAAGAGACTTCTGTAAAAAATCACTGATCCCAAACTTTTGAACGGCAGTGTATAAATATTACTTACGTGTGTAAAAAGACATGGTAGAATAAGTTTGTTTTATTTAAATATAAAGACAACTAGAGGGCCTTTTACCCCAAGTCCTAGGTATATACATGGTTATATTATAAATAAACAATATATAATAGTTCACGTATTGTTCCCCACTTCTTCCCTAACTGCGTTTTGGGGCCTTTTTGACCATAGCTGGTCTTTTCACAGGCCTTTTATGGGCCTCTAGCCCATTTAACTAGAACTTTTACCCCCAAAACAATATTTTCACTATCAACTTTAGATTTATTAACCAAAAAACAAACAAAAGTGAAAATTATAAAAATACAAATTATAGAGTCCAGTCTTGAATCGTGCCCTACAACAACTGCTTGTTCTGCTTAACCTTTAAAAACTCAAGGGCAATAGGCAATAATATAAATAAATAAACCAGAGATTTAAGGTGAAAACTATGAAAGCTAATTTCTGCCACATAAGAAAAAAAGTAATGCTTTGGTCAAACATAATTATATAGAAGTCTAAATTGTGACATAAATAGTCATGAAAATTATGAGAAAATAGTCATAACTGATATTAAAAGTTGAAAATTGCATTATTAAAACTGTATTGCCTTCCACAGGGATTCATAAAAGACAGTGCTGCAATTCTCAGTAACATTTTATTTATTTATTCAGACACAAAGTGTGTGTGTGTGTGTGTGTGTGGAGACCTGTAAGGCCATGTACAGTGAAGTTCCCGTTGACTGAAGGTATGCCACTCTAACTCTCAATAGATCCTCCTCACTGTGAGCCACCATCACACCCTGGACCACCTGTGACTACAAGAGTACAGGACATAGTATCTCTCAACACATCTATAGCCGTTTCAAAACAAAAATAAAAACAAAGACTGTGGGCAACTGAGCATTATACAGTGCATAAACAAGCAGTGGTCTCATTATTTGTATAAAGTTGTATATTTGTTTAAAAGAACTTCCTGTTTTGCATTTGCATGCGCTTTGCATGGATTTAGCATGTTGTATTTCAGGGAATAACTTGCTATAAATTCTTTAAAATATTTTTTATTGATACATTACCTGCCATGCAAAACAATGTAAGTTTATTCTAGTACTGTAATTGTGTGCACACTTAGACAACATTTTTCTATGATGATTAGGACTTCTGTTGTTATTATGTTGAACAAATGATATTTTCTATCCACTAACCTCAAACCAAACCCTCAAAGAAAGCTTTCTGTATTTTTAGCCCATCATAGAGTTGGTTTTAGGTTTTACGTTACTCTTTGATGGGACATTTGGCACCCAAAATGCTGGTAAAACCTGATCATGCACAAGATCAAGTTTTAAAGTAAATAATTTAGGAATGGCATTAATTAATATTTGGCTTTTTGAAATGACATTTATAAAGATATAGATATTTCTAAAATGTAAAGAAATTAAATAAAATAAAAAAAATCCCAAGCTTACTTTCATAGTTTGGAGCCGTTGTGCCAAGAATAGATACTGGTTCTGTATACATTGCACTGATGAGAAAAAGAAAGAGATGAATTACAAATGCTTTGTGGATTTACATTAATTGATCATTACACATCGATCACACACACATTAATACATCCTCAAACATACATAAACCAGTTTTACCTAGTGTCTTTAAGCCCTTTTTGAGGTCTCCAGAGAGGACTCCTTTAAAATGTCCCTCTAAAGCGTCCTCCACTGTCTGGCCTTTCTCAAACTCCAGTTCTTCCAGCACTGAAGTAGAAATAACATTACTGTTTACACACATTTGAAATATTTGTTGTTGTCAGCCTTACAAATACCATACAAGAAAGCTTAAATAGTACATATGGATATGTTCCAAGGATTTGAATGCGTCAAATTTGTCAAAAACTTTACATAAGTAATCACCTGTACCAAGGATACAGGAAACAACAACCTTTCCAAACACTAGGACTGCCAACAATGGCAGATATTAAACGGTAATAATGAAACGTTCTGACATATCTCATGCACAATAATTTCATCAGAAGTATAAGTGGTCAAATTTTGAAATACCTTAAAATGTAAAATCCCTACATTTAGATTTGTAGACTAAAGATGTTATTTAGTGTCTTTATGAACAATTTTCCTCTTGATTAAATGTTCTTAAGGAACGGTTTTCCACATTTATCTTCTGAAGACATTTTCCAACAATTGTGTCCCTGAAATTATAGCTAGACCAGAAACACGTATACAAACACTTGCAACTCACCAGTTCTAAGATGGTCTGGGTTTCTTGTGGTGAGTAATTTGATCCAAATATCAGCTGCAGGTTTCTTGTTTTTCAGCTCCTCAGATAAAGACTGCAAAACAAAATCATAATATACTGAATTCAATCAGGCAATTAAATCAATATATGAAATATGCATCTTATCTGAGTGGAATTCTTAGAAAACTTTGGATATCTGTCATCCTGTGATCTAACGGAGCTGAAATATCTACAATCTGAATCCAACTTCAGAGGTCATCTAGAGGTCACTGTACTGGCCGTTGCAGTGCAACAGATCAAACAAAGCAAAGTCAACATCATAGGTTTTATAGTTAAATCTTTGTCAGCTATATCTCTTAATATGACATGAAAGCAGTCCTTTGAGAGAGCCAGAAATCTTTTAAAGGAACAATTCATCCTAAAATGACAAATCTGTTATGAATGTATATGGACTCACTGCTATATCCTGGTCAATAATTCCTGGCCCATTCTCTTTCTGATAAAGGAGAGAGAGAAAGAAACCGAGAGAATGAGCACGATCACTCACATAGCAAGAGATATTGACATGCTGATGAAGTCTCAACACAATAAAATTGGTTTTGGTGGTAAATATTTAACAGTGAGATTCAGGACAGGAGTTACCACACTTCTTACCTTCAACAATGCCACAATGAGCTTTGAAAAATCTCCACTGGTTTCACTTATCAAGTCTTTCTCCAAATCCCGCGTATACTCTGTTAAAGTGACACTAAATGTTGAAACATTCAAACACAGAGTGATAGAAAATGTATGCAATTATCACTGTTATATTCAATTCTTACTGAATTAAATATTATAGTGATAACATATGCACTAGCGTTTAAACGTTTGGGGGTCAGTAAGATTTATTTTTGAAACAAATGAACACTTTTATTCAAAAAAGGATTAATTAAATTGATTGAAAAGTGACATGAAAGACATTTACATAGTTACCAAATAAAATAATTCTATTTCAAATAAATGCTGTTCTTTTGAACTTTTTATTCATTAAAACATTTTTTACAGACGCACTTTTCTCAAAAATGCAATGTCATTTACAGCATTTTTATGTTGCTTTACAGTGTAAAATCACCAGTAATCAATAAATAATTAGTGTCATATATGAACATAATTCTCTGTAAATATTTAGTGCTCATTTTGAGTGATCATCATACGAAAAACTTCTTTTTAATTTTTTGTAGACAGTGACATAATTAGTTTGAAGGCAATTGGCATAACAGCTTTTTAACTCTATGACAATATGCAAAGCTTTAATTCACTATGAGTTGGGTTAAAAGACGTTCCAAAAAACAAGAGGTTTTTAATTGCATTCATTAAATTAAAAGGTTCAATATTTTTACATTTAGTAAAATAATTCCTAAAGCACCTTGACTATATGCAGCCCTGATGTCAGAGAGCTGCTGTGGCATCCTTGTGCACAAAATCTCTAAAAGAGTTTCTTCATCTGTACCAGCACCCTGAACACACAAAAAATGAATACAGACTGAGTGGATGTTGATCTATAGTTAAATGTACGCTGATAATCACAGACACAGACACAGACACACACACCCACACCCACAGACACAGACACAGACACAGACACACAGACACAGACACAGACACAGACACAGACACAGAGACACACACACACACACACACACACACACACACACACCACACATCACACACACATCACACACACACACACACACATTACACATTACACATTACACACACTTTTGTATCATGATGAGGATTAATCATTGACTTCTATTGATTCTATACTGAGTTAATGATATTTTATATCATTATTATATTTATATATTGGGAATTATATATGAATTGAATTTTTATTACCCTTGTGGGACATTTGCTCACTATATTAATATATTACTTAGTCATTTCTTATAGTATTTGGCCTCTAAAAAGCATCCTGACCCCCACACACAGACTGACTAGATTGTGATGATTTGGAGATGATTTTGTTTCTCACTTACCTTTTGTGAGAAATTCTTGTAAACCTGGGCAAGAGATCGTCTCTGAGCATTACTGCGATTGGTTAGTAATCTCACAATGGTGCTCACATCTTTAACAAAAAGTTATGGTAGTTTGAAATGAAAACAATGAAATAAGGTAGAATACTAGCAGATTGAATTTTACTACCACAATCATGCCTCATGAGCATTTATTTAACTGTACCTTTCTTCTCCAGTGCAGTGTGAAGCACTGTAACATCTCTCTCGGGACGGAAATTTGGGAAAGGCCGAACAGACCCCAGGGTGCCCCACCACATGGCTTCAGACTGTGGGATGATAAAAAAATATAGGCATGTAAAGAGGAGGATGTAGATTGTAGAAGAAAAGAATCCTGATGTAGAAGAAAAATGGTATTGAGAAGCAGTACTACACAAAAAGTGAGAAAAATGTACAGATGCAAACATTCACCGTAAGTGGAGATGTTTCCTGTCAGTTAGCTTCTGTCTCCATGGCACCACTTGTTAATGTAAAAGGAAGTTATGCACAAGCTGCACCGAGAGAAAAACAAAGTTAACTCTTTACAATAAGGTTCAATTAGTTAATGTATTAACTAACATGAATGAACAATGAACAATATATTTATTACAGTATTTATTCATCTTTGTTAATGTTAGTTCATGAAAGTACAGTCGTTCATTGTTAGTTCATGTTAGTTCACAGTGCATTCACTAATGATAACAAGCACAACTTTTGATTTTAATAATGCATTAGTAAATGTTGAAACTAACATGAACTAAGATTGATAAATGTTGTAGAAGTATTGTTCATTCTTAGTTCATGTTAACTAAAGTAGTTAACTAATGAACCTTATTGTAAAGTGTTACCAAAAAAAAAAAACATTGGTGTAGAAACAATTTTCTTTAGTAAATTTCACAATTAAATGAACACAATAAAACGGCAAGTAACAATTAATTATACATGATATTTTAAGTAGAAAAACAACAAAAAAGGTATTTTATTGTAAAGCATACTCCAATAATCTTTGTTTTATTTACACCTTTGAGAAATAATTTTTAGTGTATAAACAATAACAAAAATAATGAAAAACACAACACCTCAGAAAGAGCATAGTTCTTCAAAAATACTGTAAATAAATAAATTTCTTTTAGCACAAATAGACAAATTAATAAACAAAGAAATTAACTTAATTCTCACTTAACACTGATCAAATTAAATTCAAATAACCGATGATCCTCCTGACAAAAAGAGGAAAGCGCATGAAAATGAAATTTGGTTTAAAAAGGTTTACCTAACTTAAAAAGATTACTCGGATAGTGATGATGTTTTGTTAAGGTGGTTTACCTACTGAAGACTCAGAAGGGTCTGTATTTCAGTCTCAGGCGAGATCGTGTTTCAGTTTTTTTGTGTGTGACTCCTGATCTGCCCTCTCTCAAACTTGATAACGCAAGATGAAAACTTAAGGTTTTAAATCGCTGTTGGGAAATAAATAGCATCCATATGCCGCAGTTCTCAGGCTCGTCTACTGCAAGAAGCACAAAATGTCTCAAACCGAACAGAAGCTCTATGCCTTCGATCAGATCAGATCAGATCAGATCAGATATCCCATGGGTGTAACCTTGAGACTACACACAAGAACTTTAAAAACCTGCACAACAACTGGAAGACTCAGTTGACTAGATTCCTCCACAAAACAACAACATTTCTGAACTACAAGGATTCTTCGAAGAAAATTCTCGAACACGTTTTGATGTAGGCTACATTCAAACGTTTCGATGTCAAGTTATTTGCTACAAGCTGCATAAAACAGGTTGTAATTTGAGAAATGTGTGAACGTGTTGTTAATGTCAACAAAGACGTTAGTGGAGCTGAACTTGAATGTGACTGTGTACATAAACTCAAGTCAAATGTTGAAAATATCATGATAATTTTCCTCCACCTGCAAGACCAACATCATCAGGTGTGGCGTTTGATTTGTAGACCTGAACAAACAAAATGAAATCAGTACACGCATCTGCATACTTGTCATTCATCAGCAGCCGTTATCAGACATTGACCTCACCGCTCCACACTGCACCTGCAGTGTCACAGTCTCACTGATCGATCGCATCTGATCTCAGCGTTAACACAAGTACAGCCTGGCAGTACATGTTTCCTAAGCCAGGTTAAACTGATTAAAATGAATAAACAATCACTACTTCACATGTATGTCAATACAAGTTGTTCTTGAAGAACCGTTCTAAGAAATTAACACAGATAGTAAAACATAGCCCACACTTAAAGGCACATGTAAGATTTTTTTTTATTAAAATAGCCAAAAACCACTAGAACTCTGCATCCGAAAACTTAGGCAGCTTACTTGCTGCCTCGCTGCCGTTGTACGAGGCAATGACTTTGCAGGCAGTGTTTTTGCATGAAGGCACCTCATGAAACTGATTTTGGACAGGCTTCTGAGGCAGCATAAGGGTTTAATGATCTACAACAAAATAGAACGAGTTTTTGTGATAACATTTACACACAAACTGACCACCAAACCCAACTTTCAGACGCCATCTTTATTTTTTAGCTCAACTGTCACGGAATGGAACGCACAGGATTGTGGGATATCAAAGGCAGCGAAATATACATCTATGCTGCCTTCAAAATTCGATCAGAAGAAGGTACCTCCAGAGACAGGAAGTGAAACAGAATTTGTATTTGGACGTGCTAACTTTTTAGAGTTTTCGGATGCAGCCAGTGTTATATATTTTGTGTCTCCTGCCAATGACGTCATAACCCCTCGATTTCCGGTTTTGTTTGGTAGAAAACATGGAAACACCAAAGACACTTTAATATGTTGTGGGTTTTAATAGACCGTTGACGACCGCACAGAGTAGAATTATAACAGAACTTTCAAATGTATCTAGTATGATAAAACAGCACTGCTTTTTTTCCCACATACACACGACCGGAAGGAGCGGAAGCGGTCGACTGTGGCATAATAAAAGCTCCGCTGCTTTCGAGCAGTGTGTCACGCTCGTTCAGCGGCCTCGTTTCGCTTCGACGGCTTTCAGCCTCACCCTGCTTCATTCTACTACAGTTAATAAATCATAAGATCATCCATGAACATGATTTCTGCCCGAATCCCGTCGGATTGCATCGGCTGTGGGGATGAAGACCACAACTCCCATGATTCCACAGTCACAGCGTCATAAAACTACGCCTTTGTCTATTTTGAATACGCGCCCTCTAGCGGCGAAAATTACATATTGTGCCTTTAAGTGAAAATGTGATGAATTCCGACATGATTTTTTTTCCCACATAGTTTTATTACAAAATTAAAACCACTCCCTGTTACATAATATTTCACATTGTACTTTGAAAATAACATTTATACATAATAAAGTTTTCCAAAAACATGGCGACTTTATATTGACTGACATTAGCACACTTTTTGGTATAAAAACAGCAGGACAGACGGAAATCTGCCAGAATTCACTTCGGAAGCATTTGCAATGACTATAAACTAATCGCAGATATTAAAGTATACATACCAGAATATACCCAATATGTCAAATAAATGATTAGACAAAATAACATTAGCTTGTAAACAAATAAAATGAGCAGAAATTAAAGAATGCTTGGAAAGTTGCCGGATTCATATAGGATGATGACATTCTCATGTGATGCATAGGGAAACAGAAAAAAAAAGTTTTTAAGTGACTTAACCACCAGCACCATCAACAGCGTGTAAATGACCTGTAGGTAATATGTTTTATTCAAACTATGTGCAAATAAGACACATCACAGGCGAGAGCTTTACATTTTACAATCAGGAACACTAGTATGCTGAATGATATTTGACCTCTGCTTCTCTCTCATTTTTAAATGGGAATACATTACCCTATGATTCGTTTTACCTATTATACAGTCTCTACTGACAGGAGAAACTTTCCCCGCCCAACATCTTCTGATTGTATGTAAGGATGATTCACTGGTGCCCTCATAGTGTCATATGTCAGTTCACAGATAGTGCTTGTATTGTTGGGGCAGGAGAAGTGGGTGGAGTCAAAAGGAGAGGGGGGTCAGATGAAGAAGAGAGCGGGCGGAATTAAACAAACTCCAGCTCCCACTGTTGACTGGCATGTTCCTCATTCTCTTCTCGAATCACTAAATGTTGTTTGTCGTATGTCTTACCCCCTGTAAAAAAAAAAAGAGAAATTAGATTGCCTGGAGAATGTTTTTAGTGTTGCCAAAATCACAATTTATGTTGAAACCCATATATTTATAAAGAAATTTAGATATTTTATATTCATAAGAGAAAGTATACACTACCATTCAAAAGTCTGTATAAAATAAAAAATAATTTTTTACGTTTTGTATGCTCACCGAAGCTGCATTTATTTGATCAAAAAATACAGTAAAAACAGTAATATTGTGAAATATTATTACAATTAAAAAAAAAACTTTCTATTTTAATATATTTTAAAATGTAATTTATTCCTGTGATGTCATATGATCCTGCAGAATATGAAATATTTGATATTATTATATCAAATCATTTTAATATGCTGATTTGCTGCTCAAGAAACTTTTCTTATTATTATCAATGTTGAAAACAGTTGCTTAATGTTTTTAACAGTGCTGCTTAATAAGTATATATATATATATATATATATATATATATATTTATTTGTATTTTTTTGTGTGGAAATTGTAATTGTGATGAATAGAAAGATTCTAGAAGATTAGAAAATTTGATTAAAAGATTAAAGATTAAAAATAGAAGATTTTTTCTTTACTGACACTTTTGATAAACTAAAGCAGCCTTGCTGAATAAAAGTATATCTTTATTTCTGACCCCAAAATTTAGAACGGTAGTGTATGGTGTTTATGGTATGGGTCATTACTTTTTTCAAAATTTTAATCACCTTTTAGCATAGTGTAATACTGCAGTATACAAATAAAAAAAAATGAATGTATTACTCAAAGTTTCTTAATTAATGCTAGCTAACATAATTAGATTAAAAAAAGTTGATCAGAAAAATGTTGTTTGATAGATTTGATAGATTTAGATGAAGTATGGCACGACACTGCTGGACACTGCTGTATTGATGTCAGCTACCCTTACATTTTAAATTCTAAACAAAAAGCTTTAATACATTAATAGTAATAGTAATAAAATAAAATAGTAAATAGTAAATAAATTGCCATATAATAAATAATAAAATAAATAGTTACAATATACAGTAATAAAGCTTGTGCTTTGTACATAAAGCACCAAACTATATCTTACCTTTGATATCCAGCACCATTCCGGGGAAGGTGACACTGGAAATTGTGCCGCTGACCTGAGCGCTCCATGTCTGCACTGGCACACGTGTTTCAGTCCACAGCACCACCTTAGCACCTGACTCGACATTACCCATTACCTGCAGACTCATGGTTCGAGCCAGCTGACAAAAAGAGAGCATACGTTTAAAAAATCTGAGAGGGGTTGACTTGAAGAAGTTGTAAACAATGAATAACTATACATGCATTATTCATTAACATCATGGTGTGCAAAGTACCTTGTTTTTGATGAGCCCGTCCTGATAAAGCCAAACATCACTCATTCCCTCTACCTGCTCTGTGACGACCACGCGGCCTGTCTTCATGTCCTCAACACCACCCTGCACTGATATGTAGTGGCCTGTCTCTTTATTTTTGATGCGGAACAGTCTTTGTTTCTATAGGGATGTAAACACACAATTAAGAAATGGACATACAAAATTATCGGAAATACATAAGAAATACGCTGTGTTTTCTAGTTATCTTGTGTAAATAATTAGTCATGTGAAGGGGATACTAACTTGTCTGACTGGATACAAGGAGCCGATACAGGACAGAGAGCTGAATTTATTCCAGTTTGTGATTTCAATGGGCTCCAAAAGGAACTGGCGCCCCCTGTAGTTACTATGTTCACATAACACCCAACTGCAAAGAGATTGATGTGGTTTTAATATATACATGTTAAAAATCTCATGCAAAATAGACATGAAACCTCAAATGTACAAATAATAAGCAGCACTGCAAACTTACCAGCCACTGTTGACCCTAACAGAGAGGAAATGTGCATTAAATCCTTCCTCCCACATGTTGTAAATCTGTGTGTCAATAGTGACCTCCCGACCTTCAAAGCACTCCAGTCCAAAGAGCGAGATTGACGGCACTGAAAAGGTCTGAAAGAGAGAACAAATGGGCAAAAAAGACAGTTACATGTAGTTAAATGTATCGTCTACGGATTTCTCATTGGGTCATGGCCCAGATCATTTGAACACTTCCTTTCCAGAAACATATTAAGAAAGCAGAGTTTCTGCTCACCATTGGAACTGCTTTGACAGAGCGAATGCTGGAGTCATTTGGGATGTCCATGCTAGTCAGGTTGGGATAATCTCCTTCCGACAAAACATACATGTTTCCTGTGAACTTCTCTCCTCCATATAGCACCCAACTGAAATGAACAGAGGGATACAAATTCAGAGTGTCACAATCTGAAAGAAATATATTAACATGAATATAATGAATGTTAATGCATGGTGAATCTAATGTTTACATTTGTATGTGTATGTGTCTACATGCATTTTAGGGCTGCTGTATACTTTCACAGCTCATCCATGCATCCATCGAAACTTTGATCCTACCCTAAATTTTCTCACTAACCTTCCTCCCACCACCCTGCAGGACTTGACACTGAGACTTTCAGGCAAACAGGCCTGGTTCTGATGACACACCCTACATGTGCCCTGGAAATCCAGCTCTGAGTAGAGCAGCACCTGCAGCAAAGAGAAAGAGAGGGCAAATGTTTCATTAAATGCAGTGCGTTAATGATGAAGATTTCCTTTACATACTACTGTTCAAAAGTTTAGAGTCAGTAAGATTTCAGATCAGCAAGGATGCATTAAATTGATTAAAAGTGACATAAAAAAATTGTAACACTGTTAAATAGGATTTCTATTTCAAATAAATACAGTTCTTCACTGTTTCCACAAAAATATTCAGCAGGACAACTGTTCAACATTATTAATAATAATGTCTCTTGAGCACCAAATCAGCATATCAGAATAATTTCTGAAGGATAATGTGACACCGAAGACTGGAGTAATGGCTGCTGAAAATTCAGCTTTTCCACCAAAGGAATAAATGACATTTTAAAATATATTATAAAAGAAAAAAGTTATTTTAAATTGTAATAATATTTCACAATCTTACTGTTTTTACTGTATTTTTGATCAAATAAATGCAGCCTCAGTGAGCATAAGAGATTCAGCTCACCTCATTTCTAAAGCTGGGTCCTTCACTAGGTGCCTGGAATACACAAGAACAACCTTATTAATGAAGTCAAGGACAGAATATTAAATGGAGATTCATAGGGGAATTCATGGCTATGAAATAATTCATGTCAATAAAATACTTTAATACTATTTCAGCACATTTAACTTCTGGTTGAAGTGGATTGCAGATGGTTATGAAATAATAATAGCATTTACAATGAATTACCAGATGCAAATGTTAACTAAAGAAACTGTTTAGTGATTGCGCCTCTCCAAGTTCTCGAATATCTACTCTTTATGCAAAACATTTTCAACCACACACAATTTGAGTTAACAGTCCTTGCACAAAGTGTTTGGATTAGATTAATGAATAATGAAATGCCTCTGACTTACTGTGAGGATGGGCTGTATGGAGCAGATGCGGTTGTCTTCAGAGCCCCAGTCTCCACAGTTGTTGTAGAAGCCTTTTTCCAAGACATACTGGTTACCTGAGAAATCCACATGAGAGTAGGCCACCCATCTGAGGAAAGAAAGAAAAATCAGTTCACATACTTATTAAAACACATACTTATTAAAACACCAGACTGCAATAAGACAATAACTCTCAGATAATGTACAGTGGGTACGGAAAGTATTCAGACCCCCTTAAATTTTTCACTCTTTGTTATATTGCAGCCATTTGCTAAAATCATTTAAGTTAATTTTTTTTCCTCATTAATGTACACACAGCACCACTTAAGGGGGTCTGAATACTTTCCGTACCCACTGTATGTGGAAGAGCTTTATAGTCACTCAAACATCGCTACATCAAAAGATGGAGGGATCAGAACATACGCTCCACTCAGCACGTGGATGGAGCAGGTGTTGATGCCGAACCCAAACAGCTCCACATCTGGGACAGCTTCTGTCACCTCAAACGTGGGCTCTTCATTCTCCACTTTCTCCTCTTCAGACATCCCATATAACACCAGCAGGGGCTCAGACAGGTCCTACAGGAAGCAGATTTTACAGTCCAAAAATGAACGCTTGTTAATTTTGAACATCTGTTAATTTCGTTTACAATAAGATTTAATGATGAAGTGCACTAAACACCAAAATGTTGTGCAAACTTAAATAGATTAATTCATAAATATGTGTATTATTTATTTATTGTATTAATGTAATACATATATATTAATATTTTCATTTTTAAAACAGATGTAGCAGTCATAGTATATTAACATAAAATAATATATTAATATTTTCTAAACTTTTCAGTATAAATATTTACATGTATTTATAGCTACTCACAGAAATTGTATTTAATATATTTAAAAATGTATTATATTATTGTTATTATTCATATTATTATTTGTAGTAGTAGTAGTACATTAATATAATATAAAATATTAATATTTTCAATATTTTTTTATATTCTTGTTATTATTCATTGCATTATTATTATTAACACCAGAATATTGAAATTAATAGTATGAATCTTGGTGAGATTTTATCATATACAAAAAATATAAAATAGTAAAATCTATTTTGTGTTTGTCTTACAGCCTGGATGACTCGGACCGAGCGCAGCTCTGAGTTTACTCCTCCCCACACCCGCCAGTCATGGTACTCTCCCTCCTCCAGAAGATACTGGTGACCCCGGAAACCCTCCTTCTCATAGCCCACCCAGCTACAAAACAGATGGAGTAAGTCAAGCAGAAGAGAGAGAGCAATACAACAAAATAAGTCAGATACTGTCCTGCATAGTGTGTAGTAAATAGGTCAGTTCTTGCTCTCTTCCCCACTTCATTCTCAATCAAACACAAATACTTTCAGTACTCACCAGCCTCCAATAACCTTAACGGATCCTGCACTGAACATAAACAATGATTGTTGCTTGTCCACTCTTGACAGGAACTCTCTCATGCTGGTGTAGATTTCTCTGCTTTTGCCAGTGAAATATGGCTTTTCATAGAGCACAATCTGTTAAAAACAAATTATATCAAACATGAATAATCCTTGATCCTGTAAACAACACAAATTACATGACTGCTTAATTACATGATAGCTGATGAACTTAACACTTACTTTTGGCTCGTAGAGGTTCTCCACTCTAGGTTCCCCCTACGAAAAACGCTTATATTAATATACATCCTTTAATTACTGGTAATTGCTGTGGAATCATCGATCAAAAAGGACAGCAGACTGAGGAGGAGACGCTTACTATTTTAAGCGGATGTAGGGAGCCCACGTATGGATGTGTGACGCCCCAGGCGGCTGGGGTGGGGAATCCCCCGACTTCAAGCACTCGCGGGACACCCTGAAAGAAGGGCTCTGCAAACACCAACCATCTGGAGGAAATCAAACACATGATGTTAACAAATAAACACTATGATCGAGCCCAAATGTAATATATGCATGCAAAAAAGTATTCCTTAGGTTTTCACCCAAAATCAACATTCACACTCCCAATTTGTCACATGTTGACGCTTGGTCAGGACCCTTTGGCGTCACTTTTTGACACATAGGGTACACCTTTAGCGTCACTTTTCAACATGCAGAGTCCTCCATTGCTTTAAATAAGAAACCTTTGGCGTCAATATGCAATAAGGCATTGGGAATTTTATCGTCATGATTAAATTATATTATATATTGGGTAATAATTTTGCCATTATTGCATATACAGTGTGTTGGGGTGTGATTTTTCAATGTAAACATTCACAACAATTTTATTTACATTACACTATTTACACATTTATGAGCACGTAACCCAACTCCTACCCCTAAACCTAACCGTTTGCAAATATAAAACATAGTATATAACAGGCAGATACAACTACAGTCACAATTTATTCAAAAAGTATTTATATTCCAAGTCTTCTGAGGCAAAACGATTGATTTGTGAGAGGAATAGACACGATCACCATCTCCATCTGCCGTAAAGCTCAGATCCTGTGTTGCAGTCTGTGAACAAATTCAAAAATTGCCTCCACAAGAAGCGTTACGTTAGCTTTGGTTGTGAAATGCCATTGGCTCTTGTGTGTCTCGTGACCGATTGCATCATGCTAATGTTCGGGGGTATCTTTTTAAATGAGACGTGAGCGCTTTAAGGGAGTGGGATCATTTTCAGCTATTTAAACCTTATGATTTACTCTGTTCTTCGCATAAAGATATCGTATGGCTTCAGAAGACTTGGAATGCAACACGACTTGTTTGTAATACTTTTATAAAGCTTTTTTTATTGTCAGTTTTTGCAATAAATACCTGTGACTGTACTTTTATTTGCCTGTTACATGTTTTATATTGCTCAGAAGTGGGTAGGTTTAGGGTAGGAGTGGGGTTAGGTGCTCCAAAAGATCTATGAAAGTACAAATTCATATAAAATTATTTCCATTTTTGCAAATGCACGCAAACCATTAAATTTGTCTTGATCTGACGCATAAGGCAAACAGTTGAAAGCAATGGAGTATCCTGCACGTCAAAAAGTGATGCTAAAGGGGTACTCTGAACATCAAAGGCGATGCCAACGGGTCCTGACCAAGCATCAATATGTGACAACTTGAGTTTGGAGTGAGAACGTGTTGCCAAAATCTGTGCAGAAAATGTCAGGAAGAGTTCTGGAATAAGCTGCACTGATCACTCACAGTCCAGCGTTGATGATGATGGAGTTTGCTTTGACTGGGAAGCCAAAAATTCTGGAGTCTTCTGACGTGTCTCTGAATGTGACCTTCTTGCCTTCTGCATTTTCTTCAGGGAAAAGGCTGATTTCAGGAACGCTGTAATCCTGGAAATGTAAAAAAATGTGTTAAACCTACTGAACATTGAGGGAAAAAAAACATAAAAAGACTACTTCTGCAAGCGTGAGTTCTTAAAAAGTCTGCAGAAGTCCTGCCAATGTACTGGCAGTTTTGCTTCAGGACACAAGGTGGCGCACTTGAACCTTTCATAACATAGCTATGATGTGACACTACATTTCAGTGAAACCAAAACATGATCCCATTCATCCGAGACATATTTACAAGCTACAATAATCTCGCCTCTTATGGTAAGAATCTCTATGAACTTGAATTTCAGCTATCAAAGAGATGACAAAAAACTACAGCAAACACAAGTCTGACATACCCTCACTGCTCGCCGTATGGATCCGATGAAGAACTTCCTCTTTAGCCGAGGCTTGGGCTCATGGTCCTCTTCCCCATGATCCTGCGTTGTTCCATTCTGCCGATCAACCACTTCTTCATCTGGTGGTCCAAATGGATTTGTCAGCTCGATGTCCCCCTCGTCCAGAGCGATCTTTTCCCCTTTGAATTCTGGCTTCTCATACAACACCCAACTTTGGAAGACAAAAGAGAGGACATAATATGAGGAACAGAACATACAACTTTCTATTCATCACAGAATCCTGAAAAAAAGTGTCAAGGTTTCCCAAAATTATTAAGCAGTACAGCTGTTTTCAACATTGATTGTATTAATAATAAATATTTTTTGAGCACCAAATCAGCATATTAGAATGATTTCTGAAGGATCATATGGCACCAAAGACTGTAGTAAAGGCTGATAAAAATTCAGCTTTGCCATCATAGAAATTAATTGCATTTTAAAATATATAAAAATAAAAAAGCTATTTTAAACTGTAATATCTCACAATATTATTGCTTTTAGTTTTTATCAAATAAATGCAGCCTTAATAAGCATAGCTTCTTTTAAAAATATAAAAAAAATCTTACCAACCCGCACATACCACAATTTATGACCCTTTTTTGAAATACCTAGCCTAGCAGCTATTACCCTAGTTCACTTCTGCTTGAAACACACTGACGCAAAGGTTTGACACCTGATGGAGCAAATGTTATGTTATGACATAATTTGGCAAACTACAATACAGCTGACTTTGCCTGATCGCTCAGATAAATTATGAGGGCAAACATGAAGTTGCTTATGCATAAACATAAATCAGCCAACTCTCTTTGAGCTGAGGGAGTGACAAAGGTAGATGATACAGTGGATTTGAGGTGTTCCTATTAGTATAAAATGTATAATTCAAAAACAGCAATTAGAAAAAGCTACATTTGTGTGTTTCTGCAGTTAATGATATTTTGCAGTGATTCAGAGATGTTTCATTGCTGGGAGGCAGAGAGAGTCTGCATGTTAAGACTGATGTGGAATGTGTCTGAGTCCCTTCACTAGCCAGTGTGACTACATTATTTAGTGTGCATTAATATTTACTCCTGTATATTTACTGTACTGTGTCGGTTAATATGTTGCATCATCCTGAACAGCATTATTATTTGATTACACCTATGCTTATAAGACAAGCATGACCTGAACCATTTTCATTTTTAATTTTAATTACTTAATTTAAGTAATTAATATTAATTTTGGCCAATTGCTCTGTAGTTGCAGGATAATGATGCCTATTATTATATATAAAACAAACAAACAAACAAAAAAAAAAAAAAGTTAAATTGATCAAAAGTGAAGACAGTAAAGACTTTAACAATGTTACAAAAGAAATTTCTATTTCAAATAAATGCTGTTCTCCTGAAAAAAGGGTATCACAAGCAGCACAAATGTTTTCAGCATTGATAATAAGAAATGTTTCTTGAGCACCAAATCAGCACATTAAAATTATTTCCAAAGGATCATGTGACACTGAAGACTGGAGTAATTGCTGCTGAAAATTAAGCTTTGCCATCACAGAAATAAATTACATTTTGAAATATTTCAAAAACATGAAAAACTGTGCCAACCCCAAACTTTTGAAAGGTAGTGTATGTGGCCTGCAAACATATGCATCTTTAAAACTTAAGTCCCCTGAAGTGCACACTTAAAATTATTTACAAAATATAGATCACAAGTGAGAGAAATTAAAATGATATGTGCATGCTTACATGAGCATGTCAGCTCAGCAAGGAGGTGCAGTTTGCGTTTGCCACTCACCCTCCTCTGATCACTCTGATTGAAATAGTGTCTGTAAACTCCCATGGTGTGGCATCCACAACATCACCACGCACTTCAATTCTCCCACCGGTCATTCCAGGCTTGTCATAGATTAACATCTAACAGAAAAAAGAAACGGCTTAAAAAGTCCCATCTTTTCTACAAAGACTGCATTGTTTAATATTTAACAATCTCAACCAGTAGGGGCAGCAGATGTGCTAATATTAGACAAGGGACAATCTGCCTTTGTCCTGCACTGACAGTGAAACATGTCCATTCGCACTGTCCTACTTTTGAAAAGCATATTTATTGTCTCAAAACCTTAAGGCTGCAATAATACACTGATGACTATAGTCAATGTCAGAGAAGGAAAGGACAAGAATATGCAAGAATAAGCTTGACAAGCCAGTTTCGGTGACCTTTTCTAAATCTTTTAATTTGCTTCTGATGAAGAACACAGGAATGTCAACCAAAACTAATTCAGTAGAGATGTATAATGCACATTAAAAGCTATGAATTGTGAAATATATAAAATAGATGTTTAGTAAATGTCACAGAGGCAAGTTGAATCATGCGTACTGGAAAAGCATTATTGTGGTTTAATGTTCCCACCAGACAGCAATCCTGAATGAACGAATGATAAAACATGATATTTTATGATAATATGCATAATTCTATTATACAATTAAATGTTATATTATGTATAAAATGAACTTGACATTACAGAATTTCAGATCTACGAAATCTTACATGAATGTTCTAGAAGAATGTTTCTGCCTCAGAGTTAAAAAAAATAAAAATATAAATATAAATAAATAAATATACTGTAAACAAACAAACAAACATAAATAAAGTCACACTATGAGATATAAAGTCGCCATTAGGAGATATAATCACAATCACAAAACTCCACAAAATCTAACTTAATTTTCTAACTTCCAAATACAAAAAAAAAGGTCAGTAGGCTACTAACAATTCATAATCCATCATTTCTTTTAAAAATCATTTGATAAAGGACATCATGTCATTTGTACCTCTCTTTTTATAATCCTTTACTGTCCAAACATGTATTTGGCAGATGAAGTGGCTCTAAATCTGCACTGTGCACTGCGGGCCTGTTACACACCCACTAATCTCTCTCACCTGTTCTTAAATACCAGCCTCAGGCTTTCCCACTTTTTAATATAATGAGCACATGCAGTAGAGCGAATATATGCAGGGCTTGGTTTGGCCTCATCAGATTCATTTAATATCAGTGAGAAAAGAAAGGACAATTGTGTGAAATATCTCACCTTCCCAGGCCGAGGATTGAGCTTTCCATGCTCCTTTTCTTTTGTGAGCTGAATAAAAAGAAAAAAAAAAGAAATATTTAAATGAGATGAAGCCTCCTTCAAATAAATGCAGATATACACACAGTGCATAACTTCTATTTTAAGAAAGCATTACAATTAAATTATTCAGAGTATGTTTGCACTAGTGGATAAGTAAAATATTATGCTATTATGATAATATCAGTCAGAAATCACAGAGTTACAAACACTATCAGACATTCAGTTCAAAACTATATGTCACATGAATTTAGGATAATTAAATGAATAAATCATATTCAGAAGAAGAAACTAATTTTACTGAAATCTAGATCCCTTGATTAAAATCCCCCAATTAAATTCTAAGGTTCAAAATAAATGTCAACATTCTTGCTATTAATTTTCTCATCTTCAATCCCCTCTGTACTGGTGATGGTGGTAAAGTTTGGCATTTCAGCATACAAACAGATCACCTTTGGTTCTTAAAGGAAACACTACACTCCTAAATCTAACCTTTGACAATAGAAGAACAAGTACTTTACACAACACTTGATGTTTCTACCTCTCAAAGTCACATGCAGGAAGATGTGAGAGGCTCACAGCCTTATTGTCAACCAGACTCTTTCAAAACAGTACTGGAATGCAGCAAAAATTGACTGATTGGTGTAATGCCTGTGTTTAAGACAAGCTGTTTGAAATGTTTATTATACTTAGAGTTCCTCAGGGAAACTACAGTATATACAGTACATGAGGGGAAACAAACTGAGAATGACATCTGCATATCTGCTGTTAGCATCTATGCTAAAACAAACCGTTGGCATTTGAAATGGAAATCAAGAGGTCAACTTATCAGGTGTAAGAGGTTCTCGCGCGGATTAATGGCTTTTGATGAATGCAAAGTTTTTACAATACATGTCAAGATCTCATTGTTTGTAAATGCCACATATTTATGCATGTAGGAGGTGATGAAAAGCCCTTCCCAGACTTTGCAGAGCGACATGCCTTTGCACTTGCAATGAGGCATGGCAAGGTTAGAAGAGAGACAACATTACACAAGAGTCCAAGTCAAATTCCTCTGTTTGCATATGGGGATGCTCTTAATGAAAAGTCAAATGCATGAGTTACATAATGCAGATGCTATAAAGCTACCTCTATAAACCTACCTCTATAGGTCATCCTCACTGTCAGGCATTGTGAAAATATGTTTTCCAGAATGTCAGAATATTTAAAATATGCATAGTGAAAAAGGTTGTGAGATGCAGTCGGTATCTCTACAGCCGATCTATCAACTCAATGGAACAGTGAATGTGACATCTTATAGATATCTAGCCAAATTACGCATAACTGCTTAAAATGTACCTACTTTTGTTTGGGGTGGGTCTTACTTTTAACTTCTGGCTATAATTAAACCTTTAAAAATGGACCTTTAAGAGAGCCTTTTGTTGGTGGCTACATTATTAATATGAAGGGCTGTTTACTCCTAGAATCCAGCAGGAAACTGAAAATCAGTCTATAGCCTATAGGGTCTCCACAAACTGATATGTGTGGAGCATGAAGGTGACATAATTGTTTTCTCTATATCTGTTCCAATTAGGGCTGTGCAATTAATCGAAAAACAGTTTCGATTTCGTCCTCCAACGATTATGAAAATACAGTAATCGAGATAAAACGATTATTGCGCCCCATTCCGCCCCCTTCTCTAGCGCTGCGCTTTCGTTCCTTCATAAAAGCCAAATTGCACATGCAAATCAGAAGAATCATGTAACGTGACTTTTGCAAAATGGGACGTGCTTGATTTATAGAAGTATATTTATTCATGTTTTTAAAAACGTGAAAGAGAACTTGCGCTGCTGCTCAGGAAAGTATATGCGCTCAGAGACGGAACAGAACACGGACATGTAAAGTCATCTTTTAGCTCAAGGTGCGCGCCTAAACGGTCAAATACACGCAAAAATGTGTCAAAATACGGCGCTTAGTGATTATTCATGCATACCTTCGTCGGTCATGTAATAAATGAAAGTAAAGAGTTGAGAATGAAAATACGCGTGTAACGGTAAATTGGATCCGTGCGGCTCTTAAAGTGACAGCAGTAACGGTAAATTGGATCCGTGTGGCTCTTAAAGTGACAGCGGGCTATTTTCCTGCTGCGACTGTGTGCTTAATATTAATCAAACAACAAAAGACAAATTCAAAATCACACACTGCTCTTGAGTGAAGGACCTTTGTAGCTTTAATAAGAAACAAACAAGTTTAATTCTTACAGTGAAGACTATGCTGTTTTATTTTACGTTGATTTGATTATTAATTTCTGTAGTAGACCCAGTGGCGGCTTGTCGGTGGAGGCAGGGGAGGCACAGCTTCCCCATAATTTTGAGGTGAAAATGGGAGGAGGACGATTTAATATTAATAAAATTCACAATTCATTTCAGTTCATGTCTCAGAATGTGTATTTTTTGTTTGTAATTTCACAGTTGTAATACCATAACGTGAAAGCGCCGCTTTTCTATCGCGAATGTGCCAAATCTGCTGATGCAATTACAACCGCTAATGATAGAGAAGGGTAGGGAGAGGCCGGGGGAGAGGTGAACTCTCGTGCCTCCGTTGGTAAAAAAAATTAGCCAATCACCATTGAGTGTTCACTTTCATTGCTGAGGAGTGTTGAGAAAAGAACCCTCGCAAGGGAGGCTAGCCTCCCTTCTGATATCAACCAATCATCATAGAGACGTAAATTAATTTTAAAGTGGTAAAGCAAATTATAATAATCGGCAGGGATCCCAGACCAATACAATTAGTGTGCCTCCTCTATTTTAAAACCCACGAGCCGCCACTGAGTAGGCCTAGGCTGTAAACTGCTTGAGACTTGCATAAAAAACATTAAAGCACAGTTTGTTTCATTTGTATCTTTTTATTCTAATGGATTTGTCCTTTGCTTTTTTATTACTGACAGTTGAATTATTTTCAATAATTTTGAGGACTTTTTGTTTGTTTGTTTGAAATCCCGCTGGTCTCTACAATGTAGATGTCATAGCAACCGTATTTACAGGAAATATATATTTGATATGTATCACTATCTTTAAATAAATCACTCATATAAAGTTTTGGTCATAGCCCCCTCATAATCGTGTTAAATAATCGTGATTACAATATTGGCCAAAATAATCCTGATTATGATTTTTGCCATAATCGAGCAGCCCTATTTACAATTGGCAAATTTACAGTAAACCATTGCCAACCCAAAGAAGGGTGTGTCTGAGCAGGACTCGACCTAGCCTGTCTTGGAAAATTATCAAAGCTAATTAGAGGAGACATAGCGAACGCAGTAAGATAACAAATAGCATCGCATTCCATCAGCCTCTCCTTCTTTCCCTGCCTACTAACAAGAGCCCCAGGGACGACCTGTTCTACTGATACCATTTCTGACCTGTGCTCAGAAAGTGCCAATTCAGCTTGATTATTCCTTACTCTCTTAAACCAGCCTAATTATATAGAGTTTGGTATTATGAAAATATATAATTTCAAGAGGGACATTGCTCTATGCATAATTACAGGAAACCAAACAGTTTGCTCTTTCATTGAAACCTGAACTATTATTATTTAGGGGGTTTTCATATTATGATATCATTACATGCGGGACAGGAAGTAGGATGCTCCTGTAAATGGGCTTATGTGGCATCAAGTAACAAATATAAAGATTTTTGCAAATTGAATTTTGATATAGAGTTGGATGTGGGTTGAACTGTCAGATAACTCAACATCATCACTTTATGTCAACACAGAGCAAGAGCAGTATGACGTGAATGACAGAGGTCAAGCTGTGTTTTACAGTGGATGTGTGATCATTTGAAGTTACTCCCTAGTGACAAACCTCTTATATCTAAATCATAAAAGTCATTCCCTTAGTAACATTAATATCATGTCACAGAGAAATGAACTTTCTTCACATGATCAAACTTGTGAGACATTTTAAAGCCTTATATGCTGAACCCCGATATACAGTGGGTACGGAAAGTATTCAGACCCCCTTCAATTTTTCACTCTTTGTTATATTGCAGCCATTTGCTAAAATCATTTAAGTTAATTTTTTATACGACTGTATATATATGGATCAGAGAAATGTCTAGCGGATGAAAGTGTGCACGATTCCTTTACCAGCTGAAGGTTGCACCTTCCCATAGTAACTATAAACCCTAACCAAACTACAGTTTTGGTGAAGTTGCTGTGGTTAAAATCAAAATTTGACTTGCAAACTCAGGCTCTGTTCAGTAAAGAGAAGCAGTAATAAAAAAAGACAGAACTGCTCAGTGTCTGTTTTGGAGGACAAGAGGAAACGTGAATATTGCATGAGGACTGTGGTAATGTATACTCCCTTCAATCTCTATTGTAAACCCTTCATGGTGAGGTGACATAACACCCCTTCTAGCCTTTCATTCACTGAGGTTTAAGGTGCTCAATCCAACCCCTGAAGAGTCTTGCAGAGTTTTTTTTGCAGAGTTTAGTTCCAACTCTAATGACACAGCCAAAATTCTAGCCAGGTATGTGGGTACAATGAAGGAGGGTTGGAACAAAACTCTGCAAGATATCCAGGAACAGGGCTGAGTAGTCTAGGTTTAGGGCATCCTACACCTGAACAGGTCTAAAAACAAAGCGCATCAGACATTTGAGGTCTAAAACAATCCACATACTATGTTACACAATGCTTGGTGTAAGTGGTTTCATATCAGGTTACACTAAGAGGCTGACTAGGAATGGGAAAAACAGAGCAGTGACATAATACGAAAACAACACTCTCATTGATTCCATGCCCTCATTCTCAGAGTAGTAAACTTCACCATGGCACCCTTTTGCTCTCTATTTTAAAAATACTTTACTGTTGTAGTGCCTAAGTGTTTGATGTAAATGAAGATACCAACAATGCCAACATGTATTGTGACAAAGCAATACTCACATATGCATCAGGGAAGGCTCTGTATTTGAGGAGTATGTTCCGCTCTGGTTCTGGCTTTTGATTCACTTGGAAGCTCTTGGTGTCATTCATTAGAAGACCTCCGTCAAGACTACTGCTGCGCTGAAGACCCAAAGGTTGAGAGTTCTTGAGGAGAGTTTCGGAGGGCAGAGAGCGGTAAAGTTCCATAGTGGACTTGTGGTCGAAACTGGAGGTATCTTGCGAGTTTTGTTGGAGAGATGGAGCCACGCTTATTCGAGAAGTTTCAGTGATCCCACTGAGGGAATTTGATGGAGAAGTGAGGTATGAGAAGCGCTCGAAACGTGAACTGAGCAAGGCGTCAGATCCCTTGGTGGCTGAGCTTATTCGCTCTTGACTAGGGCTGATCTCAGGGAGAGATGCTGCACGGAAGATGGAGCGGTTTGAGGCCTTGTTGTTCTCTGTTGGCTGGAAGAAGAAGCTGTTCTCCAGGCGAGATGAGCCTCCATTCATGAGTCCTTTTGTAGAACTCTCTTCGGGACTCAGCTCGTTGAGTGAGCCCCTGCGCATGACCATGCTGTTGAGGGCTGAAGCTCGCAGAGGCAGGGAGAGCCCCCGATTCGGGGTCTCTCCGAGCTGCTTTTCCTTCATCATGGTCAAAGGAGAGCGCATGTCCTTGGGGGAACTCCAGTTAAGGCCAATGTCTAGAGGTAAGCTAGAAACTCCATTCAACAACTTTGGCTCAGTAATAAGTGAGACTGGAGTACGAAGAGAGAGTGGAGTAGGGGGTGAGATTGGTGCATCCTCTTCAATAGGTGGCAGTGAAGAGAAGGGAGTGTTGGATGGGGTGCGTTGAACCCTTTGCCGGGCCGGTCGCTCCATGCTCTTGAGAGTGTCTACCAGGTTATCCATTTCTGAGAAGGATGAGGAAGAAAGAGGCTCAGGCTCAGGGCCAGTGGGTGAGGGAATCAGCTCTACCCGCGTAGCTTGGAAAACATCAGAGGAGTAGTCGTCTGCCTCCACGATCATCAAGCGGGAATCGAAATGTGCCTGTGAGTCAAAGACTGTTTTTCTTATCTCCTGCTCTCCCTCTCCCTCTCTCACGACAGGTAAACTAAGCTCCACCCTGCTCCTCCCACTAGTGTAACTCTCATTCCTCTGATGAACTTCGCTCTCCACAACTTTCCAGTTACTGTTGCCAAGGCTACCGTTAGTCTCTGAGGAGAAAGCAGTATGCTGGGTCTCGGGAGAGTGAAAATGAGACATGTAGACTCCTTTTTCATAGCTGGGGGACAGTTGAGAGGAATGCAGGTATGTGCTATCTGTGAACGTGTAGTCTGAACTCTCTGTGAGGCTGGACTGCTTTTCTTCAGAGTTGGAATGGAGACTTTTCCACCTCCTCTCAAGCTCAGGACTGGCTCTGCTTGGTTCTGACTGATCTCTTAGCCTGATGCTGTCCAATGGACTTTCATGGTTCCCAAAGTTGCCCTCTTTGTCAATGCTGACCAGGGACACTTTGCGGACCACCATGGTATCCCCTCTGCCTTCTCGAGAAGATGATGGTCGACTGAGCTTCGTACTTAGCACCGAAACACCAGAGTTCATGTCTGTATCAGATGCAGTCTCAGTTTCCAATTGGTTTACTGTTTCTGACTCGTCAATCACTGTACTGAGAACAGTGGATGCATGAAAGAACCTAGAACAAAAGGATGAAAGTGAAATAGAAAAAAAACATCAATCCTTTAATCATCTTTTTATAACGATACTCAGCACACATTTCAAAGCTACTGTGTTGTAAGTCAAACATTAAAATGTAATTAGAAGGGACTACAAAGCTGCTGTGTCACAGTATTTGACTATAATACACCTGAGGTCTATGCCCAATAAATATGGAGAACCTTGGCATCTGTAGTTTTAAGAACGAATTCTGTTCATGTGATAAGGAATTTGAAGCTAGTTTGATTCATGAATCCCTGAATGAATACATTCATATTTGAAGTAGAAGCATAAAAAAGCACAAATGGAAGCCAGATCATGCAGGGTATAATTGTCCCTTTCTATGGGAGTGTATTGCAAGGTGAGTTTCTTGAGAAACGACATGTTAAAAGGGCACTTCAAAATGAATCACAGTTTTAATCACACACACCATACAACAGTAAAAAGATGAGTGGAACTTCATAATCTATATCACATGAAATTTTACTAATGGAACAGACTACATATGTAATCACCTTACAACATTAAGCATGTAACAATAACAGTAAATATAATCAATAAATATGTAAATGTGTCAATTGCTTCAGTAATCAGGGCATTGCCTTCTGGGTACAGAGCAAGTGGCATCTGTGGTGTTGCCTTTTTCAACATGATGTATAAAGACACAGTTCATAACCCTTACCTGAAAAAAATAAAAATAAGAATAAAAAAATAAAACACATTGCAATGTAATTTATCACTATCCTCATAAGCGATGTCTCTTCATCAACTTTGTAGTAATGCGTTTTTACCTGACATAGCAAATATTATCAATTGATTTGGCATTATGATGGCACTATTAAAAACAAGAATAGTGCACTTTGCACTATTTAAGAATAGTATCCCATGCACTTTGGATGGGATAAATGCAGAGCACTAATTCTGAGTATGGGTCACCATACTTGGCCACATGTCACGTCACTTCACTTCACTTAATTGATATTAAAGAAACAATTACTTATAATTTGACTAAAGGCAAGACACAGAGACAATATAAAGAGGAAGTGTCACTTCATATGATGAAGAACAGAGAAAAAACATGCTACATGTCATGTAGTTTATTTTTCACTGCATTTAGCCCTGAGACACTTAAAGGGAGAGGCATCAAGTTATATCAGTTGGCAGAACTAGTCACTCTGGATCATCTACAGTAAATCACACCCCCTGGTGGTAAAGCTGAGCCTCACATTCCATCTTTGGTCCCCTGCAATTTAAGATATAATCGACAGATTTTAATAAAAATTCTTAGAAATGCATTCACTAGCTATACTGCACCACCATACACACCTGTGTAGGAGATTCTGGGCCTACATATTTACATATTAGTTCAGGTGAATTTCCAGAGCATTTTGTCTACATTCTGAGAATTGTTGTGGCTCTGATCTTGGGTGATGGCCAAGCTCTGTTTTGTGGTTATTTGCATGTGTTCACCACACAAGCCTCACTGGAGAGATACAATAACTTAAAACAAAACATTATTGCCCAAATACAAGTGTTTTTTCAAGCTGTCCGTTCAAGTTACATTGATTCTCTTACAGCCTTTGATTTAGAGGTCAGGTGCATTAGGAATGTAGATGTTTGTGTGTTTAGCCAATTCACATGCTATGTGACACACTAGCGAGATCTGTAATTGTCCCTGTCAGTTAAGGTGTAGCTTAAAGTATCCATTTCACTTTAATAGAAATGGCATCTATAATTGCCGACTGGTCCCTAACAAGCATTTCTGAGCATTTACACAAACACTTACATGACCATTCTAGACTGGGAGAACTGCCTAGTGAACTGACTGTTTCAACCCAGCAAATCCTGCTACAGAGCATGTCTGTTTGTTAAAAACCATGATCAATTCAAAGGTCTGTGTTCCAGATATGATGCAATACCTCCCCCCTATGAGTATAATTCAATTTTGGATCTATCAGTGATTCTATCAACAAGATTACTTCAAATTTTATATTATAATAATACAATTGTTCAAATTTTTTATATTGTTATAGTATATACATGACTTGTGCTAAGTGCATGCTAAGGATTAGACAATGTGTCAGCAGCACTCATTCCCAAATGAACATGCATAACACATTTGCTCAAAGGTAAAATAATATTAACTTTACATCATTTAATTTACATTTCTTGAAAGACAGATTTAAAAAGTGCATATGCCCATGTAAGAATAATGTCCGATCCATTTTTACAACTTCATGAGCACATTCTACTGACAATCATACTGTTCTCGGAAATCTCTGGTTCATTCTTGATGGAATGTTCCATAAAGCTGGTCTGAGTCAGTAATCAAAAGGGGGCGGAGCTTACCAAAGGGTCATTTGTAGTAAATACTCCATCAGACTCATTTTCGACAGTTTACTATAGTAATTGAAGGGATTATTTCAGCTTTTCCAGACCAAAAAAAGGAACATTGGAATTTCCATAAAATCGCCTATATAAACCAGGAAATTAATTTCAAATAAGGGTCATGGACAGCTGTCCTCCATCTAAGTACGTTTTATCATTTTTTTTTTTTTTTGCTAAATGTCAAAACCAAAGTTAAATAGCACATTTACACTTCCAGGCAAAAACATTTAACATTCTATTCATAACATATCTGATGAGACATGTTAGGAGACTCATCTGCTCATGTTATCAGCACTGATAACAAGGTTGAAGCTAAGAATATACAAATAAGAACAAGGCGGGGGGGGTATTATATATAAATATAAATAATTTACAAAATAAATAATTTGTATTTATTTTGTATAAATACAAAATAGTTGTGTATTTTGTAACAACTGTCTGTCACTTGCATCCCTGCAATCATTCTAGACATCCACATACTAGGCATCCTATGTCATGTAAATCTTCCCCTGCAATTCACATTCACAGTAAGAGGCTGAAAAATAAAACCAAACAGAAGTTAAGTGAATTGAACTAAACTGAACAGAGTGTAACTGAATGAAATACATATATTCCCACGAACAAACAAGTGCTGATGCGTCTCTGATGCATGGAAGAGCATCTTTACAATAAGTAAATACTGCATTAAATATGATGAAATATCAATAAAAAGAAATGCATTTACGTAGGTTTATGTTAATTTATAAATATAATATTTTTCTCTGTTAAATCATGTTTGTACAAAATACATTAATGTACTAGCATCAGTACCAATGAACATCATGTTAGCCACTGCATTTAACTGACACACAGGCATAAAATAAGCATTACCAATTGCAAAGTGCAGTATGCAAATCCATCAGCCACATTCCTGGTGGTTATACTTGTTTGCCTAAGGAAGCATTCAAGAGGATCTCAGCTGTTTTGGCATTGGCCTTCATTCATGAGGGCTATTTCAAGAATGTGTATCATCAAGTATGAGTCAACAGCATACTTTGAACTACCTTACATTCCTTTAGCAGCCCATCCCATTCAAATGAACGTAGAGATGTGGGGTTGCGAGTGGGTGAGGCTTTGATAAACCAGTCCCTTCTTGGGATAAGAACTTCAACCTCACTTACAAAAGAATTTGAAGTTCATCTTAACTATTCTAAAAGAGACAGAATAATCATTCTGTATATACTCCATGAAAAACAATGAAACTGGCAGGGAGAGAAACAGAAGCCAGAATATAAAGTTGCTGAACACGTGGAATAAGAAGGGCACTGTACATAAACAACTTTGTGCTCATATCCATCTCCCATAATTTGACTTCATCTCATATATCACTTTAATCATAAAAATTAACAACCATAAACAAAGGCACTTCATATAATAACCCCTTTTTTAATATCTTGTTCTATACTTTTCTTCATTTCACTTTTGTTTTAGCTTGAGCACACACTCATACTTAAAACTTGGCATGGTGTACTGCAAATATTGATGACCATCATGAGAAACTGCTTTGAAAGTCACTTTGGATAGTGACGTCACCTAAATGAAATAATATAAATGTGATGTGAATCACTTTAGGGGTACATTGCGGTCAGAATTGAGGGGTTACATTTGTCTGTTCCCCATGTGAAAAGTGTGTAATTCAAGCAAGATAAGCTGAATTGATTTTGCATCTTCTATTAAACCAGTGTTTCCCAACCGGGGTGCCGCGGCACCCTGGGGTCAACTGTAAAATTTAAAAAACACTGAGTGAGCAAAAATTCGTGAGATAGCTAGTTATAATGGTAATTAAATAATGTTTACATATGTACAAAAGCCTACATTAAAATCTGTCATATAAATTGGTCTCTTCATTAGAAATTAGCCTACTGATTGCCACCATTGATGG